TTGGTGGGGGGCACATCTGGACTCATTGAGGGCCTGTGGTCAAAACAGGAAGCCTCATTCCATATCAATGTGGTGGAACATTGAGCCATCCACAATGCATGTTGTGCCTTCTGGGACCGTTTCGCCCGCCTAGTGATTCACCTACTCACCGACAATACCACTGCGATGTACTATGTGAACAAACAAGGGGAAGGCATTCCAGGTTACTCTGCCTAGAGGCAATCAACCTATGGCAATTCTACATCAAAGCAGACATCACTCTGGTAGCAGTCCAATTGCTAGGGGCACAAAATTGTCTTCCAGATATCTCAGCAGGGTTCTCTCCCTGAACTATGAGTGGTCCTTGAAGGTGAGTGTCCTCTGGGTTGTCTTTGAGACATGGGGCATCCATGTGATCGACCCGTCTGTGACAAGGGAAAACAGAAAGCATCCCCTATTCTGCTCCTGAGGGGGTCTTAGCCCAGGCTCCCTCTCTGATGTTTTCCACTGGAGCTGGCGGTTGACGCTTCTGTACATCTTTCCTCCTATTCCGGTCATGCCTCAGATATCCTCAAACTCAAGGCAGATCGTGCCCAAGCTCATCCTCGTTGCTCCAGCCGAGGCAGTGCTGGTTCCCTGATCTCCTTGCTCTGTCGGTTCAACCTCTCATGCCACTTCCTCTCCATCCCAACCTGCTCACTCAGAACCACGGCCACACTCTCCAGCCTGCGATCAGCTCCCTGCATCTTATGGCATGGCTGCTGCATGGCTGAATGAAGACATAGAGCTGTGCTCGGAGGCTGTCCAACAAGTCCTATTCAGCAGTAGGAAGATCTCCACTAGGATGGCCTAGTTGGCGAAGTGGTCCGTGGCCCATGGGACCAAACCAACAGGGACTTCCATCCAGGACATCTTAGAGTAGCTGTTACATCTTCAGAAATTGGGCCCTGCACTCAGTTCACTGAGAGTGCATTTGGCAGCAATATCAGTAGCAATATCATGCCCCTAGTCAAGGGAAATCAGTTTTTTCCAATGCCATGCTGAAAGGATTTCTGAAAGGGCTTCTCTGCTTACATCCTCCAGTCCGAGAACCAGTTCCCATGTGGGACCTAAACACCGTTCTGGTTGCTCTAATGGGCCCTGCGTTCGAGTCACTTGCATCCTGTCCACTGCCCTTCTTGTCTAAGGGTACGTCTATACTTACCTGCTGGTTCGGCGGCCAGCAATCGATCTTCTGGGATCGATTTATCGTGTCTTGTCTAGACGCGATAAATCGATCCCGGAAGTGCTCGCCGTCGACGCCGGTAATCCTGCTCTGCGAGAGGAGTACGCGGAGTCAACGGGGGAGCCTGCCTGCCGCGTGTGGACCTGCGGTAAGTACATTGTAGTTCGAACTAAGGTACTTCGACTTCAGCTACGTTATTCACGTAGCTGAAGTTGCGTATCTTAGTTCGAACTGGGGGTTTAGTGTGTACCAGGCCTTAGAAAACTGCGTTCCCAATAGCTATCACATCTGCAAGAAGTTTGTGAGAGTTGCAGGACGTGATGGCTGAGCTTCCTTACACTCAGTTCTCCAAGGGCAAGGTGATGCTGCGACCACACCCAAGGTTTTTATCCAACATGGTCTCTGTTTCATCTGAATCAGGTGGTGTGTGTGAGCTGCACTCTTTCCTGGAAGAACAGTCCCTCCATACTCTGGATGTCAGGCAATGTCTAGCCTTTTATCTAGACAGGAGTAAACCATTTTTGTGCTTCACCTTGCCTGTTCATGTCATATACAGACCACATGAAGGGGGCAAGCAGTCTCTGCACAAAGCGTCTCTAGATGGATAACATCCTGTATCAAGACTGCATATGAGAGAGCTTCGGCTATGCCCTCAGTGGATGCAAGCTCACTCCACGAAAGCACAAGTGATGTTGATAGTATTCCTCAGTGTAGGGCCGGCTCTAACGTTTTTGCCGCCCCAGGCAAAAAAAAAAAAAAAGCCCCCCCCCCCCCTACCCCCCCCCGCCCCCCCCAACCCCCCCCGAGTGCCGGGCCATGCCAACCTCCGTCCCCCCCCAGCGCCGCGCCGCCGAAGCCCCTGCCCCCCCAGCACCACGCCAGCCCCCGCCCCCCTCAGTGCCGCACCGCTGAAACAAAAACAAACAAAAAACCTCGAGCGCCGCCCCACCCCACCGAACCAAAAAAACAAAAAACCCGAGCGCCCCCCACCACCCCAAGATTGGCTGCCCCTTCCAAGGTGCCGCCCCAAGCACGTGCTTGGTCGGCTGGTGCCTGGAGCCGGCTCTGCCTCAGTGACATTTCCATGCTAGACATTTGCAGGGCAGCCACATGGTCATCCATCCATACATTTACAGACTATTATGTTATTACCACATCTTCCAGAATGTATGCAGGCCTTGGAAGGATGGTCCTACGAACCCTATTGCAGTAGACTCTGAGCCCCGCCTCCAGACGGCTTACTGTTTGTGAGTCACCTGAGTGGAATACATGTCTGCATCTACTCAAAGAAGAAACTGTTACTTACTCTAACTGTAGTTCTTCGAGCTGTGATGCAGACATGTATTCCATGGCCCACCCGCTCTCTCCTCTCAGGGTCTTTTGGTGTGAAGGAACTAGAGGGGATATGGGCGGCACCAGGGGAGGGGCCAAGGGCACAAGCGCTACCCCTCTACAGGTACTGCTAGGCAAAAGTCTCTTGCTCTGGTGTACTGGGTGCGCACACGCCTAAGTAGAATATATGTTTGCATCACATCTCAAAGGACCACAGTTACAGTAAGTCACGGTTTCATTTCAGCCAACTTTCCCCCATGGGTAAATAGAGGAATAGAGGGCTAGATCCACAGAGGGACTGAGGGTGGCAATGCTGAGTATTGCAATTCCTAACTTTTAGGTACCCTGCTTCCTGGTGGAATCCTCAGCCCTGAGCTAAGTGTGAAGCTCCCTATACAATATGCGAGAGTTAGCTGTCTAAGAATGGGATTCACAGAAGCCAGAAAACTGAGTGGGGAGCCACCTGAGCTACTCAATAGGAAATACCAAGGAGAGGGGTGTGATCTGATCCTTGCCTCTGAAAGAGAGTTAGGCACCACCCTGTGGCTCAGAGTTAGGCACTTACCTCCACTTGAGATTCAGAGCCATGAACCCTCTCCTGGGTTAGGCACCTAAACCATGTCAGACCTTTTCCATTAAAAATGAGAGGGAGATTGAGAACCCCACCCCAGAATACCCAGTAGCCTGGTGGTCAGGGCACTCACCTGGGAGGTGGAAGGCCTGTTTTCAAATCCCTACTCTGTCTGATTTGGAGCAGTGATTTGAACTTGGGTCTCCCACATCCCAGGAAGTGCAAGTACATGTGTGCGCGCCATCAATATTTAATCATTAAGGCTGTAAGAAAGTTGTGGTGTTTGAGTTTGGGGGGTGGGGTTTGGTTCAGATTGCAGCCACAATTTAAGTTGGAGTTTTGCGTGGTCAGTTCAAGTACCATAAAAGAACCACATTAAAAACAAACAACCCATAAAAAACCCAATTTGAATGGCATTGCAATGCCATGCGCCAAGTCACAGTGCCTCTCACTGAAATTTGGCCCAGCCAGGAGGGACAGCCATGCCAAATCTAAGTGAATGGCATTGTGACCAGCAATTTTTTTAAAGCCTGATTAGTCATTTATACAAAGTAGAACAGCTTCAAGAGGAGAGATTGAGAGCCCCACTCCAGAATACCCAATAGACTGCTGGTAGGGCACTCACTTGAGAGGTTGGAGTCCCTTCTTCAGATTAGGCAGAGGGTGGATTTGAAAACAGGTTTCCCACATTCCAGGTGAGTGTCCTAACTACTGGATTGGGTATTCTGTGACACACACAAACCCAAATTCCCAATCTGACTGCCCTCAGCTGCCCTTTGTGGAAGGCCCAGTCTGGTAGGCTTGCTCTGAAAACACCTACCACTTTGGGCTCTCTGTGCAAGATAGGCAGGGGAATGCTTATTTTGAGAACTCTTCCACAACTTGGGTGCGAGTCAGGATGCCAAGCAGCTCAGTGGTGTCAAAATGTAGGCAGCTTTTCACATGCCCACCAGCAGCAAGTTAGGCACGTAGAGAATTTAGGCACCTCCAGGTTTAGGCAACAACTGAGTGGGGGTTTTGAGGTCTCAGTGGAGCTAAAATGTTGGATTTAGGCATCTAAAGTAGCAGTTAGGTGTCTAAATCCCTTTGTGGCTCTAGCCCAGAGAGGTAAAAGGCCTGAACAACTCTGTTCCCATGGAAGTCAATGGTAAAATTTTATCTGACTTGAATGGAGGCACAATAAGACTTGCTTAAGATTACAGTTAGCGTGTAGCTAGGAGTTGAACCAAAGAGACCTAACTTCCAGTTTTCCCCTCCTCTAACCACTAAACTACATTTTCTCTCCTACTGAATTGCAAATTTGAATGTTAACCTTGACCATCAAGGTATGTTACAAAGTCCATCTCTTAGAGAATTTTTCTGAGAAGGATTATATTATTTATTTTCATGTAATCTGGGGAGTTTTTTATACTGATTGTATCTTGTCCGCACACAGATTCATAGATTTAAACAATTCATAGATTCTTAGAGAAATCACAACATGTACCTTAGAAATTGAGAATCTTGATTAATGATATATTTCATGGGTTCGCTAAATCTGCATTCACTTAATATATCATGTAATGTATAGCTGCAAACAAAAGAATTTTAAGACATTTATGTCATTCTTTATATTAAGATTCCATTTACAAATAATTTATAAAGGGTTAATAAATGCTTAGTAGGTATTATAAGCATACTGCAGTCATAAACAGTACTTGCTATAGTTGGTTATAAGTACCTCAGTAGAAAGTGTAATGACTGGTTATAAGCAACCTGTTGGACTCTACAGTTGATCAGTAAATTTTTAAATTATGCAGAATTTGCTCAGTAATGAGCATAATTACCATTGTCAGTGTGCTTTTTTGTTTAACTAATGAATGTCATATACTTCTTTCCCTTCTCCCCTCCAAGGATATTGTTAATACAATCATCAAGCACTGCTCTCCTCAATTCTTTTCACTTGGTTTGCCTGGTGCTACCATGCTTATTATGGATTTCATTATAGCAGCTGGTAGAGTGGCTTCTTCCTCTTTTCTCAATGTAAGTGTTCATCAGTTCATTCTCTTTTGTGATTGTATGTAATCATGAGATCTTTTAATAGAAAAAATACTATGCAACATTGTTCTTCAGCTAATGTGTATTGACCTGTCCCAAAGAGAGAACTTAATGCTTAATTATTGAAATCACCAAGTAGTTCATTAAAACATGACATTATAAAAATCCTATATAGAAGGTATATTATAAAGAATGCAAAAATTTGCTGTTTATTCCTGATGTCTGTTTAGCCTCAGAATTGCAGGAACAATTATGAGATAACTCTTAACTAAAAAACACCACACATAAAGGTGTTTATTTCATCTGTCATCACCTACATGCATATCCAGAGTTTTTTTGTTTTTTTTTAAACTTATAGAAGACGTGCCATATTAACAAACTTAAAGGGAAGGAACATTTTTTATTGGTGTATTAAGTCCAGGGCAATTTAAATATAGTAAGTTTTGTACTGATGTTGCAATGTATCCTTTGGGACTACTAAGAAGTAAAAATGTTGCAGTTTGCCATTAAGTGTTGATAATCCTCCATTTTAGGAGAAGTGCGTTGTATACCGTAGATATTACATTGTTACTGTACAAAACACTCCATGATTCACAGAAGCAATTAAATTCCTTTCAGCGAGGGATGTTCATATAATACTACAACCTTCAATTAATGCTCACCATGAGCCGGTGTCATCTTGCTCTGTATACATCCTGAGATATTTAATTTTTAACTGAGCAAGGTTGGCTTTCTCTTCAAAATCTTGAAATATTCAGAGCTCTATTGATGGTGTGTGTTGAAGACCTCTTGACTCAAGAATGGGGTTCTTTGCAAAATACTGTCTTAAAAAACAACTGGTAAATAATTTCCACTGTATATTGGTTGAGATGATGTCAGCTTAGTTTTTGGATCATCCAGTATAATCTCTTTGGAGTTTGCTATGGTTACCCAATTACTTAAAGCTCAAGCCTTCCCCTTTTAAAATATTAGTGACTGCCCCATACAGTTATTTACATAATTATTACTTTGTATTGGGAGAAGCATTTCTGCTTCCAGTGCAGAGAATTTACTAATTCTGTCAATGTTTTAAATTGGATCAATTTAAATTACATGGTGGATTTTTTTTCATTTTTACAGTGTTTTCTCTTAAAGTGTGTTACACTTGTAGTTACTCCATGTTGTTGCTGTACAGTGCCTTCCAAGAATGGGGCTGGTGGCTCTTAAAATTGCTAGCTTTTGCATTTGTACTTTTAAATATTTATACCTTTCAGTTATTTCTGATCAGCTTGATTGGCAGAGGCATTATTTATCCTTTTAAACTTTCTATTTTGTGTTTGTAAGAAAAATATATAGAAACAGTGTTTTATCACAAAGGGTATTTAAATTATTCTCTTTTGTGGTAATATAGAATATAGAGCCAGTACGTGGTAATGGAAATTTGACTTATCTGTTTCAACACAGCAGCTTATTTAAGCAGTCTTAGTGTATATCACACAGCTGTACTTTTTGTGATAAATACAAACTGCCTGAGTTTCTCTCTGGCCTCCATATTGTCACCAGGATAAACGTAATAAAAATTCAACCTTATGTAAGATAGTTGGATATTTCATTCTTAGTGCAATCTGAGTAAATATTTTTGTTTTTCCTCATCCGTAGGCACCAAGAGTAGAAGCACAAGTTCTGTTGGGATCTCTTGTCTGCTTTCCTAACTTATATTGTGAATTGCCAGCTCTACACCCAAACACTCCTGACATAGTTGTGTCTCATTTCACAGATGTTAAGGTGGGAATATTGAGAACATATGTATGGTATTGCAGCTACCAAGCTGTATTTTTTAGTAGTATAGTGTTCCAGGTAATTTTTACTAATATTTAGACATTCTAATGTTCTTTTTAGATCTTCGTAAGTAGAGGACAAAATTTAAGTCCATAAAATTTGTCAAAATAGGCTTTAAACTTCTAAACATGTAGTTATTTTGAAATTATTGTTGATCAACAAAAACCATCAAAAATGTCTGCATATGTTCCTAAAAGTGAATGTGCATTATTTTGAACATTTCATATGTTTTGTCATTGTGATCACTTAAAAGGTTTCTCAGCTTTAAACATCTCAGAAAGAAGAAAAAGACTTGATGTTTCTAGATGCACTATTTATTCCACTTGCAGTTTATTTTCTTAGGGGCTGCCAAAAGCCCCTATGTGCACCTCCCTGGTGGCCACAATACATTAAAATCAGGGAGACTCGAGCATATGAAGTTTGGGCTCTGTGACAGTTTAGCGTAGCTGAAGGCAGTCTGGGTCATGGGTCTGTGTACTACTGAGGTTCTTAAACTGGGGGTCACAGAGTGTATTCGGGGTGTGTGTGTGTGTGTGTGTGTGTGTGTGAGAAGCTTTAGGAAAAAAAACCTTGCTGCACACATTTTACCCCCAGCAATGAATAATTACCAAAGCTGATTCCTCCAGGCATATCAGGTCCTCAGAAAGCACTGTGCATTTGACTCTAGATGGCACTGTGCATTTTGATGGATTTTTATTAAGCTTGCGTAGCATTATACAACGTCGTTGCCATATGTACACTAACCCATTTGCTACAATGAAGTGTGCACATTTAATTGTACGCATCGCCCACAATTGCAGTTTCACTTTTGCTCTTATTACGATGGGTCGTTGACTTATTCATGCTACAGATAAAAAGAAACTCAAGTGAAAACCAAAGAAGCCGAAACTGGTTCAGGTGAAGCACCATCGCTGCATATATATCAGTAAATGTACTTGTGTGGCAGGAAGCGGGAGGGGGCATAAACTACTACAGACACAAAGAAGGGGGGGTGTGATCAAATACGTTTGAGAACCATTAGTCCACTGTGTCTCTGACTATAGGGATCCTGCGGGTTGCTGCCCCTGCTTCCAGTATTAAGAGTGGAATAATGTATGAGGTAGCTCCACAGACCTTGCCCACTGTTTAGAAGTAAAGTTAGTTCCCTGCACAAAGCCTGTTTACTTGGGCTTTATGGAATGTGAATTTCACCAGTAAGAACATTTGGCCCTCTTGACTCAGGCAGAATGACCTACCCACACATTAAGCAGTGGGAGCCATTGTCTGGCCTGTAAGAAAAGGTGTGTGGCCCTTTTAAGGACTAGATAGCCAGAGAGTGACTTGCTGCAGCAACTTCAGCCCTCCAGATGTCCGAAAATGGGGGAGACTATTTAGGTTCATGCCAGTGCAAGAAAAGCCATCTTTTACCTGGACCAGGTGGAGCAGCAGGAACAACATCACAACAAATTCTTCTGGCACCACATGGGAACAGGAAGCAGGGGAAGAGGCATCTCTCCCCATTCCCCCCCGCCCCCAAGCCCACAGTGGTAAAAGCAGGCATTTGGTAACAGAGGGGGTGAGGTAGGGAACTCTGCTCAGAGCCATAGCAGACTGGTGAGAATGGGGAGGAGCCTTCCCCCTTCCAGCCCGCAGCAGCAGAAGCAGGTGTTTTTAGCAGAAGGGGAAGAGGAGGGAGTTTCAAACTCATCAGTGTGGTGCCACAGCAGTGTGATCAGAACAGGAGAGGGGTATCCCCCACTCCCAGCCAGCCAGCCATAGAGGCATGTTAGAACAGACGAGGAAAGGAGTTCCAAACCCAGCTAAGGGGGGACAGACTGGGACTTGAGGGGCCATGGGAGTCCAGGGATGGGATCCTTGCCACATGGGCAAGGGGTTTGACCAAGGTTGGAGGATCCAGGGGTGATCTGTCTGTCTACCAAATGGATTCCCCTTTAGTGGGAGGTAATGTGCACCCTGTGGAAGCAAATGCTCCCAGTGGTGAACCAACTGCATTTCGGAGTGGAGGAGTCATCAGAGAATTGATTCAAATAGTCTGGGCAGTTGCTTCTGAAATTGTTTCCACGGCACTAAAATGTTTACAAGGTGTAGTGAGTCACCCAGAGCCATGACATTTCAATGAAAAATTTGCAGGACAGGAGAGTGACATGACTGGCAGGGGTGAGTGTGCCCAGCACCAGATGGAGGTTGCAGAGGCAGGGTGTGGAACTGAGTCCCTTCTGGCCAGTGCTGCAATGGGTTTCTCTAGGGGGGATCTCAGTGGGGAGGTTCAGGGAACTTGCCTACCTTTCCTCTTGGGGGACCTAAGTGTGGGAGGGGAGGGTAGTCACCCCATCTCCCACATTGCAAGGCAGGAGAAACTGAATCTAGAGGGGTAGCGGAACTAGCAAATAGGCTACAGGGGGTGGATCTGATGTCCTAGGACGGGCGACCAACCTGAGCTTGAGAAGAAGCCAGAATTTACCAATGTACATTGCCAAAGAGCCACACTAATATGTCAGCAACCCCTCATCAGCTCCCCCCACTCCAACCTGCAGCGTCTCCTGCTTGCCAGCAGCCCACCAATAAGTGCCTCCAGCTCCCTCCACACACCTCCGCGATCAACTGTTATGTGGTGCGCAGGAGGCTCTGGTGGGGGGGGGGGGGAAGCAAGGGCATGGCAGGCTCGGGGGAAGAAGTGGAGTGGGGGCAGGGCCTGGAGCAGAGCAGGGGGTTGAGCACTGAGCACTCCCCAGCACATTGGAAAGTTAGCATCTATAGTTCCAGCCCCGGAGTCGGTGCCTAGGCAAGGAGCCGCATAGTAACCTCTGAAGAGCCGCATGCAGCTCCGGAGCCACCGGTTGGCCACCCCGTCCTAGGAGCTGTGTCGTGGATGTGTGGGACGGACACACACACACCCACCCACCCACCTATGGCATTACACAGTTGTTGCAAGCTAACCTTTAGTTGTTGCAGCAACTGTGAGCTTCCCTGGGTTGGGGTGGGGGGTCTGGAAGTGGTAATATTGGAAACCCAGCATGGGCCTGAGTTTGGGAGATGGGCAATACTCAGGTGAGGCAGACCCCTCACCAGGGGACAGGAACCCTTACTGGGCAGGGTGAGGGGGGGTGATTTTTGAGCAGCCTACAACTCACCAGCTTACAAGGAATGTGAATTTGTAGGATCGAATTACTGCCCCAGGGGCAGCAGGTCACTGAAGGTTCCCCAATAGTCAATCATGAATATGGTTATGCTGGGGTGGCTGACCCAGTGGGAGTTCACCAGCTCACTACTATTAAATGTAAAAATTTTAGTGATGAATATGTAGACTTTGCCTCCCTGTCCAATAGTGATAAGTTGACAGAGTGTAAACTGGAGCTGAGCAAGCAGGGCAATCAGATAATCGAGTGGCCAAGGGTGGCTAGAACATGGAAAGCTGCCTTCCTGATCTATACGAACTTTATTGCAGAGGCTTACCCAGATGAGCCCAGCATTGTTCAAATATATGGATATAATCAGGAAGGCATATAATACATTTGTGGGCATGGCTTGGTTTAACTAGGACGAAGAGTTTAAATTGAAGGTGGCAACGCAAACCGGGATCCAGTGGATCATACCACATCATAAGCTGCTGTTAGAGTGGATGGCCTTACAGAGGTCTGGTTTCCACACTGACAGTGGAGCTTTTAGGATCAGATAACTAGTACCTGGATCTTGTAGGGACTCTTCTGGAAGGGCTTTGGAATTGAGGGATATATACTGGGAAGGGTTATCAGTGATACTAACCTTGAGGAGGTCAAAGGCGTATCAAAGAGGTTGGGGTGAATCCATTATTCTGCAGGAGGGTGGCAAGCCCTGGGTCACCCTGTGGAAGCTGCAAGGGCATACAGGGCAATGAGGCCATGGAGGGATGGCCCCTCTTGAATCACAGTGACGGGAATCCCTTCACAATGTATCAGTTGATTAGTTTTAGGATAGGGATTGACGAGGTTGGGGTTTCCAACACATGAATTTGGTTCCCACTCATTCAGGACTGGGGCAGCAACAGCCGCAGTCCAGCTGGGTCCGGGGCTAGCGCAATTCAGGCAATTGGGCGTTGGCATTCTGAAGCATACAGAATGTACGTGAGACCTCAGGTGAGGAATCAGTGTTAATTTTCCTGTGTGTTTGCATTCCATATGCTGGCAAACAGACCGAGCAGACAGTGATGTGGATCTGCAGGCACAGTATAGTTTACTGGGTGCATAGGTGATGTTCCAGGTTACTTGGAGGTTGCAGCTGGGCCTCAGTGGTGAAGCAGTCCTGAGCTGGCATAGAAGAAGGGGCATGTTATGGGATCAGCTGTTGTCCTTTCTGCATACCGTGGTGGCCCAAGAGCAGGTGCCAGATTGTGGCTCACCTTGGGAAAAATGATTTGGGATGGACATCATGATCAGAGCTAAGAGGGACTTGGGACAGATCTTGAAACTTTTTTCAGGAATAAAAAATTATATGGTTGAACATGCTGCTACGCAGGGTGTTGTGGGGAGCTGCAAAGCCCATTAGGTCAACTAGGCTAGGAGGTATGTGAATAGGAAGGAGGCCAATTCAAAGGTGGCATATGAGAATTGGTAATTTCTCACCCGGACATAGCATTTGGGGCAACAGAATTATTCAGGGAAGATGGGCTACGCCTGTCAGACCTGGGATCTGACATGTTTTTGGCCGATATTAAAGAGGGTATTAGTAGATGTCTGGGAACTTGGCTAGATATAGGGGAAGGGGGGAGGCATTCAAACTAATTGCTGGTGCTCCTTGTGGTGGATGTCCAGCGCAGGCCCTCCATAGGGAAGGGATATGGTGATCAGATACAATGGATTGATAAAGGATTTAAGAGGTATTCTTTAAAAGAGCAGAAATGGGGGAGAGGGGGTTTCAGGGCTTTTATTACTGCAACAGCAGGGAGCCAATCTCCCCCTTCTTTATAGCCCCCCCTTCATCCTCATTCGAGGGGTGGGCTGAGGTCCCAGCAGCAGGTTGTCCTGGAACTAGGATGGGTGAAGGGGGAGGCTTGACAGCAGCCCCTCGCAGCCCCCGTATATGTAAATAATTATGGAATTATCTGAACTGTACACTTTTATTTGCTGAGTACTCCCTGACATTTAGGAATAAAGTTGCAGCCTAATTGAACCACATCCAGCGTCTCCTGTCTCCCTTCCTCAGATAGGATTATATCTGGAACACAAGATGCATGTATTGCTTTCTTAGTTTTTATCTAATATTGTGTTTTCAGTATGATACCTGGAACAGTTCATAGTTTGTATTTTAAAAGAAACCTTTTAACTTAGTGGTAATGTTCTGTAGTACGTATAAAATCCTGGTTCAGTCACTCGCACTCTCTGGGGCAGCAGGTTTTAAAAGTATTCCAAAGAGACTACTTGCTACCCAGATTTGTGGGAAGCGAGTACTGTGCATCAGTTAATAGCAACTCCTCCAATTAGTAACAAGGCTTGATGGGTCCTGAAAGAATACAATCTTGCAGCCTGATGACCATGTTGTGAGAGTTCAAAAGAAGTGAGAGTTCATAACCAGGAAATTATAAGTATGTATTATGTTAGATATTGGTATAATTTTAAAAATGTAGTTCAATAAAACTTCGCTGGATGTGGCCAATTACTTGTTTGTTGTTTCCCTCTCCCCTATGGTCCATTTCTCTGTGTTTTGAGAAAGTGAGTTCTTCAGGCAGGGTTCATACCTTCCTTTAAAGGGCCTGGTACACTGGAGGCACTACTAGGAACAAAATAATTTGAAATTTAAGGTGTGTGTGTGTGTGTTGTGTTAGATGAGTAAAAAGTCTGATTACTTACGCTTGAGACCCAGCAAAAGAATAAGCCTGTGTATTCTATAGCAGAGCCCTTATATTTTTCTAAAGATTTTTGTGGAGACGTTTCTGGCAACTGAGTTTGAACATTTTCATCTTTTGTTTTAGGAACTCACAATCAAAACTGTATTAAGTTCTGCGAGAGAGGAGCCATCTGGTCCTGCACGGTAGGTCATATTTTAACAAGTGATGAAAGGCTCCATATTATTGGAGGCTCTGTTATAATTGCAGTATATTCAAGTAGGTATGTTGTAATCCAAGTTCTCCTTTTAGTGCTTGTCCATATATTCCACTAATGGTGCACATGCACCCTGCACACTTTTGCCAGCAGTACCTGTTGGGGACTGCATCTACACCCTGAGTGTCCTCGTGCCTCTGTCCAAGAACATAAAGGACAGGATGACCCCAACCGCTCCTCAGTTATTTTTCACACCCTGTGGCTTTGGGTCAGAACTTTGCAATACCCAAGCCCTCACTGAACTTTGCAGTGTTTTGAGCTCTTGCTCCCTGGACAGCCTCCTAATTGTTTGTAAATAGCTGTGGGTAGTGATTGCTAGGTAGTTGTTAGTTTAGTGCAGGGGTGGGCAAACTATGGGCCACGGACTGCTTCCGGCCCGTCAGATGTTTGTATCTGGCCCTCGAGCTCCTGCCGGACAGCGGGGTCAAGGGCTTGCCCCGCTCTGCCCGGCGCTCCGCAGCCCCCGACTCAGTTCCCTTGATGAGTACACCTCTACCCCGATATAACGCGACCCGATATAACACTAATTCGGATATAACATGGTAAAGCAATGCTCTGGGGGGGCGGGGCTGCGTGCTCCGGCAGATCAGTGCGTCAGCGTGTCTGGCTCTGACACGCTGCTCTGAGTGGCGTGTTAAGGGTGCCGGGCCAGGGCCGAGGGGTTGGATAAGGGGCAGAGAGGGTCTTGGGGGGGTGATCAGGGGACAGGGAGCAGAGGGCAGCCACAGCCCAAGGAGGGGAGCTGCAGTGCAGGGCAATGTCACACGGTCTCCAGCCGGCTTCGAGAAGTTGGGGAAAACTGGTCCACGTGGGGAAGCTGCAGATCCAGGGCAGGGAGAGGTGCCTGTCCTAGACGGTGCCGTGCAGGTACCGCTGTCCTGGCGCTGGAGGACTCGGCACACAGCGGGCCCGGCTGGCAGGCTGCGCCCCGCTCGCAGCAGCGCCAGTTGGGCTCTCTGGGTCCATAGCGCGCCGCACTACCTGCCCGCAGTCGGGCTCCGTGCGCCCCGGCGGGCAGCTGGCCGCGATGTCCTCACCAGAGACGGGCTGCGCAGGGCTCTGCAGAGGAAGAGAGATGGGCTGAGCACGGGCACGCACGGCAGGAGCCGCCTGCCGATGGCTCACGCTCACCCTCCCCCAGCACCACATGGGCACGGGGTGGGGACCAGGTGCACACAGGCACCTCAGGCAAGGCTGCCACCCTGCTCCCCCTCGCGGGCTCAGCCGTTGCGCCAGGCTGGGTGCACTCTGCGGACAGAGCAGCAGCCGCTGGACCAGTTCCCCCTGCCCCGCCCCCACGGGGCTCACCCCAGCTGCTGTGGTCGAGCAGGTGTGAGCGCTTCCGTGTGCCGGTTCCCTGGGTCCTAGAGCCCCTCCTGGTGCGGCGCGTGGCTCAGCGTGGGAGTCCTGGCGGTGATTAGGGACGGGGGGGAGAGGGGGGTTGGATGGGTTGGGGGTTCTGAGGGGTCAGTCAGGGGGCGGGAAGTAAGTGGGGGTCGGATAGGGGGCAGGGTATTTGCTGTCTATTAATAACGGAGATGCTCGAGGCCAAAGCAAGTTCAATATAATGCAGTTTCACCTATAACGCGGTAAGATTTTTTGGCTCCCGAGGACAGCGTTATATCGGGGCAGAGGTGTACCATCTTCTGGCATGCATAGCCACACTGCGTAGGCGTGATTTAACCGCGCTGTTTCTGGGATTGTAGCCCCACCCCTACATGGCAGTTCCTTTCTCCCCCTCCCCCCACGCGACAGCGCACCCAATCCCTTCCTGGTCTCCTACGGCCCCATCCTCGAGAGCCTCGAAACCAGCCAGGGACCACACCCATCCCAGCTAGGGTGCCATGGCGGTGGTACGGCCGCCTTGGTGTCACTGCTGGCAGGGCCCCAGGAGTCCCCAGTACTGCTCCCCTCACCTCCCGGCACCACACTCCATGAGTCCCCCTTCCCCCCCACCTCGGTAACATTCCTTATAGAGCCCCCCTCCCACACCAGGCATTCATGACCCACCATACAGTTTCCATACTCAGATGCGGCCCTCAGGCCAAAGGGTTTGCCCACCCCTGGTTTAGTGACTAGTTTAGGGCAGAGTTGCTTTTTAATTCATTCCTTTAGTTTATCCTGCCTCTGCTATAGCAGAACAGAAATGTCTGGGGTTTAAGAACTGTCCTTCATGTGAATAATGCCCCTCAATGATAAGAGCATCAAATGCCAAATGTGTTTGGGAGAAGGGCATATCATTGATAGGTACTCAATTTGTATGTCCTTCTCAAAAAGAACACACAAAGCTAGGGAGCCACACCCGACAATGTTCTTTATGGAAAGTTCAATGCATCCCTCTTCAGATCCAGGAGCAACAAAGGCTGAAAACCTAGAGCAATTATCATGTAAAAATACTCCCATCATCTCATCAGCCCACTCCTTTGATGTGCAAGTAACTAAGGGCAAGCCTACTGCGGTGCAACTGTACCAATGTAGCTGTGCTGCTGCAGCGCATCAGATGAAGAAGCTCTGTGCTGACAAGAGAGAGCTCTTCCATCAGTGTAATAAAACCACCTCCATTACTGTCGGAAGCTGTGTCAGCGGGAGAAGCTCTCCCACCAGCATAGTGCTGTGCACACGAGCGCTTATGTCGGCATAACTTAAGTCACTCAGGGGGAATGTTTGCATCCCTGAACAGCTGAAGTTATGCCAGCATAGGCTATAGTGTAGACATAGCCTCAAGGATCTTAGAATCATAGAATATCAGGGTTGGAAGGGGCCTCAGGAGGTCATCTAGTCCAACCCCCTGCTCAAAGTAGGACCAATCCCCAACTAAATCATCCCAGCCAGGGCTTTGTCAAGCCTGACCTTAAAAACCTCTAAGGAAGGAGATTCCACCACCTCCCTAGATAACCCATTCCGGTGCTTCACCACCCTCCTAGTGAAATTTTTTTTCTTACTATCCAACCTAAACCTCCCCCACTGCAACTTGAGACCATTACTCCTTGTTCTGTCATCTGGTACCACTGAGAACAGTCTAGATCCATCCTCTTTGGAACCCCCTTTCAGGTAGTTGAAAGCAGCTATCAAATCCTCCCTCATTCTTCTCTTCTGCAGACCAAATAATCCCAGTTCCCTCAGCCTCTCCTCATAAATCATGTGCTCCAGCCCCCTAATCATTTTTGTTGCCCTCCGCTGGACTCTTTCTAATTTTTCCACATCCTTCTTGTAGTGTGGGGCCCAAAACTGGACACAGTACTCCAGATGAGGCCTCACCAATGCCGAATAGAGGGGAATGATCACATCCCTCAATCTGCTGGCAATGCTTCTACTTACACAGCCCAAAATGCCGTTAGCCTTCTTGGCAACAAGGGCACACTGACTCATATCCAGCTTCTTGTCCACTGTAAGCCCTGGGTCCTTTTCTGCAGAACTGCTGCCTAGCCACTCGGTACCTAGTCTGTAGCAGTGCATGGGATTCTTCCGTCCTAAATGCAGGACTCTGCACTTCTCCTTGTTGAACCTCATCAGATTTATTTTGGCCCAATCCTCTAATTTGTCTAGGTCCCTCTGTATCCTATCCGTACCCTCCAACATATCTACTACTCCTCCCAGTTCAGTGTCATCTGCAAACTTGCTGAGGGTGCAATCCACGCCATCCTCCAGATCATTAATGAAGATATTGAACAAAACCAGCCCCAGGACCGACCCTTGGGGCACTCCGCTTGATACCGGCTGCCAGCTAGATATGGAGCCATTGATCACTACCCATTGAGCCCTACGATCTAGCCAGCTTTCTATCCACCTTATAGTCCATTGATCCAGCCCATACTTCTTTAACTTGCTGGCAAGAATACTGTGGGAGACCATATCAAAAGCTTTGCTAAAGTCAAGGAATAACACGTCCACTGCTTTCCCCTCATCCACAGAGCCAATTATCTCGTCACAGAAGGCAATTAGGTTAGTCAGGCATGATTTGCCCTTGGTGAATCCATGCTGACTGTCTCTGATCACTTTCTTCTCCTCCTCTAAGTGCTTCAGAATTGATTCCTTGAGGACCTGCTCTATGATTTTTCCAGGGACTGAGATGAGGCTGACTGGCCTGTAGTTCCCCAGATCCTCCTCCTTCCTTTTTTTTTTTTTTTTTTTTTTTT